GGGGGGGGGGGGGGAGGTTTCTAGTAGCTGCAAAATGGGGGCTGCCTACTCCTGTGCTAAAAGAATAAAATGAGCAGAATGTCCCAGGGATTAATGAATATGTTAGCATTACATCATCTTAAGCAAAGACTGGGCCAGGGGCTGACTGTGGAATAGATCATGAACTACTCATATTTGTTCCAAGTTAAGCTAAAATGAAAGAAGAAAGCCAGCCAGTTTCCACAATATAATCCTGATCATATCTTGACCCACCATTTTCAAGGAGAATATCACAAATCACTTTGAAGTCCTGAAACTCATTGGTAGAGAACCAGAAAGATTGTGGAATTAAGTTAAGGAAGTTGCTATGAAAAGACACTACTAAAGATCAAGAAAAAGAAGAAAACAAACTGGTTGTTAGAACAGATGATGAAAATTGCTAAGAGAACTGAAGCCAGAGCCAAGAAAGATAAAGATCTCAGGAAGGAACTTGACAAAAAAATCTTAAGTGAGCTGTTAGAAGAGACAAAAAGCAGTATTACAACACCTGTAAAGACACTGAAGATGGAAATGGACACAGAAAAACAAGGAAAGTCTTCCAAAAGATCTCTGAACTCAGAAGGAGGTTCCAACTTCAAATTGGTATGCTAAAGGACACCAATGGACAAATAATAACTGATTTCAAGAAGATAAAACAAAGGTAGAAGGAGTATACCGAAATTCTGTACTGTACAGTACAGATGTCAATGTTCAAGATACCTTAGAAGATATTCCCTACTTACATGAACTTCTAGCATTAGAAGATGAAGCACTCTGGTCATTAGCAAGTTGGAAGGCTACAGGAATTGTGGAATAGCTGCAGAAATATGGCAAAGAAAGGAGTCTTAACAGAGTGTACAAAGTATCATACAATTTCACTTGCTACCAAATTAATGCTTAGGATCATCCAATGCAGATTAAAATCCTACATGGAAGTGGAGATGCCACATGTCCAAGCTGGCTTTACAAAAGGTTGAGACATTTTTGTTGATGCACCTGGATAATTGAGAAAAATCAAAGAATACCAAAAAGAAGTCAAAATATGCTTCATTGATTATAGAAAGGTCTTTGTGTTGATCTTATCAAGCTGTGAAATGTGCTTAGAAAAATGGGAATCCCAGAACATCTCATTGTTCTCATGCCAAATTTATACACAGGTCAGGAAGCCACATCCAGATGCAATATGGTGAAAAAAACTGGGTCCAGGTTGGCAAAGGACTGATACAAGGCTGTATACTCTCCCCTTATTTATTCAACCTATATACTGAATATATATTGAGGGAAGTGGATAGGAAGAAGATGAATGTGGTTTTAAAATTGGAGGAAGAAACATCAATCACCTTCACTAGGCTGATCACAGTATCTTGAGAGCTAAAATGCAAATGATCTATAAGCTCTAGTAATGAAAATCAAGGAGCATAATGAAAGAAGATGAACTAATGACATCAGGTACAGGAACCAGCCTTAGAACGGATAATGAAGAAACTGAAGTGGTGGGTAGCTTTTGCCTTTTAGGATCAAATATCAACAGTAAGGAACTAGCAGTCAAGATATATGTGCAGGCTAGCACTTGATAGAGTGGCAACGGTGGCTTTGGACAAGATATTCAGATGCCTGGATGGGTCTGTATCTACAAAGATCAGAACTGTGCAGGCAGTGCTTTTCCCTGTGATGCTCTATGGAGGCAAAAATTGGACTTTGAAAAAGGAGGATAGAAAGAGTATTGATGCTTTGGAACTTTGGTGTTGGAAAAGATTACTGTGAATACCATGGACAGCCAATAAAACAAACAAATGGATAATTGAACAAATCAATCCAGAGTTCTCATTCAAGACACAAATGACCAGGTTCAAATTACCTGACTTTAGCCACATTATGTGAAGATCTAGTTCTCTGGAGAAGTCTATAATGCTGGGAAGGGTGGAAGGAAAGAAAAGAATAGGATGACCAGGAGCAAGGTTGATGGACTCAATTATATCAGCAATGAATGCACTGTTGGAATACCAGGTTGGGGACAGATCATCCTGGAGCAAATCTATCTATGTGGTTGCTAAGAATTTTCACTGACTTGATGGCACATACTCAATGTATCAGTCAATCAATATAATCTCAAAAGTTTTGGTAATTTATTTAGTATAATTCTGTAGCACCCTATACCCAATGTTTTGGCTAGTTCACAAATAAAGATTAAATAAGAAAATATACACATTTAATAAAATCTATAAATAATCTGAAGCAAATTAAAACAGCCACAGCATAAAATCAACATCAGAAAACAATGATTTCTGTTTTTTAAAAACTGAAAGAACTAGAACAATGAAGGCATCAAACTATTTTTTGTGGGAGATCATTCTATGAAATTACTGAAAAAGCTTCTCTAATATCTTACTCATTTGTTGGAGGTAACCAACATGACCTTAGAAAACAACTTTGGGTATATCTTACTGTTGTACAATGCCATGGTTCACATTCAATTCCAAAAAATACTTCAGAGTGTGCAGGAATGTGCATGTCTATCAGTGACTTCTTGAAGCAGTCATGTCTCTTTCCAGTACATAATTGCTTTAGTGAGTCATAATTAAGTATTGTGTTTGCACATCTCTGTGCTCTAAAGCATTTTTTCAGAACTGAATGTAAAGCACTGCACCACTTAGTATACATGGGAAGGGATGGTCTTTCAGATAAACCAGCTCCAGTCCAGAAAGACATTAACAACCAGTTACACTTTATGGCTGTATATTGTCTTTTATTCTGTGTTTAATTAAGTAAATAAATAAAGTTGAGGGAGAGGACTGAATAACATCTTTGCCTTGGATGATAAAACTGAACTTCTGTGAAGTACAAGATTTTGTAGAATTAAATCAAATAATGGGAGGGGGAGACAGGCTTTTGGTATTCCAGGGTGCTTTTGTGGAACTGGCAATGATGCATTTCTTTAAGTATGGTGAGATTTGGTTGCTTTTCTGACTATTCTGATTATGGTTATGGTTAATAAGTAGCAACTTGGATGGTTATTAATCAGTGTCTACCAGTCATGACAGTTAGATATTCACTCCCATATAAGAGACAGTAGGCTTCCAATACCAGCTGCAGGGGAACATGAGCAAGAAGATTGTATTTCTCTTTGTTCTGCTTGTGGGCTTCCCATTTGGATAGTTAGTTCCATGGTGGGAACCGGGCGATAGGCTAAATAGGTTCAGCAGTACTGTTACTATATTCTTAATGGAAACATGTTCAAGGCCAAAGAGAGCAGTGCTAATGGGTTGCTCTCTCTTTTTTAGGATATTGACAACAGTGGGAAGCAGCTGAGGTCCACTTCTGTCTCATGTTCCTGTGGCAGTGTCCCTTCTCAACATATATCCCAAAGCCTGGAGGTCTCACTTCCAATCTCAGTGGGTTGGTAGCCCTCTTCCATTGCTAGTTCACAAGTTTTCTGGAAAAGAGGGATTCTGTCAGATGCAGACATATGATGGGAATGTTGCTCTTGATAAAACACCTCCTCGTATAGGGACATCTCTTGACCTGGAGCTGTCAGTCTTAGGTACAGGATCAGTGGACTTCTAGAAATGATTCAGCCATCAGAAATAATTGAAGGGAAGAAGCAAATTAAAAATTGCATACTTTCCATGCTTTGCACAAGACATGTGAGCTCTTTAGCTACAAAGTAAGAACAAGATTTAAATTCAAAACTCTTCTATTTTCTAAATTTGTTCTTGAGATATTAAGTATAGTTTAATGTCATATCTCACTGTTATCATCACACAAAAATATTAGAAAAAATATATTTTAGGGAATGAACTCAGAATATAAATATCCCTACATATAGGTAAGATAGCAGTCACCTGTATTTCATTTCTAACTTGTTAAAAAATATTTTTATTCTGCACTTGAGGGGACTGCAACCTAGAGAGGATGTGCTTTTGTCTGCTTTTGTCAAAGACAAATGGGACAAATGTGCCATTTTGTTTGTTTCCAGCTTTCTCTGGAGACTAGTTAAGGAGACTAGCTAACCATAATATGAAGCTGTAGTGGGGTTTGGCTTTAGCTTAGTATGATATTTGAATCCACTCATTATAGTTTAATGTTATGCATGAACCAGAACACTATGGTTCATTCAACAAGTGATGTTTAAAAATTCCTGGTTTCAAACTATGTGGGAACTCAGCTAGAGAACTGAAGAATGATAATAAGGTTCTCTTTCATATCTCAATCTTTTTAAAACTGCATTTTAGGGATTGTGCCACCTGTGTTGGATATGATTCAAAAGGACCACGTAGCCCCAGAACAAGTGTAAGTGTCTGGACGGAAACAGCATCCTTGAGAACGTAAAACTCTTCTATCTATGATCTATAGAAATCCTTATTGTTCTAGCATTTTATCCTGTTTGGGGATATTGTGCTTAACTGATAATTTAAGAAACATTTTCTACTTAGATGAATTCTAAGTATTTTTACATATATTGCTGATGAGACCCTTTGGGGGCAAAGCAATTTGGGTAGAAATTAAAAAAAGAAATGAAAAATATTCTTGGCTGTTTATTCAAACTTTGGAGCCCTGGGAGGAGGGTGACATCTGGGAAGTGGGAATATTTTAGCAGCATTAATTCCTGCTTGAAGTAGCTCTTTAGCGGAGAGGCAGGGAATTACTCCTAAAAGCATATCTGATTTAAGTACATTTTCTAACAGGCTAATGGTTCAGGAAGTTCTGAAGGAGCTAGCACAGTATCATAGGTAAGTGCTGGGAATCACCATGCCAAAATGGCATCTATTATCCCTTTCTCTAGATAACTATTGCCTGGTTTGTCCAGAGAGGCTCCTGCAGGTGATGGAATTCTGCTGGAAAAACATACAAATCTTAATAGAGAGGGTTCAGCAAAAGTAGGCTCTTCTGGAAAGATCTTTTTAGCAACACCATACAGTTTTTGGCAGTGTATCCTTCTTATTTCCAAACTCTAGGCTGGAGGACCGGTATTTACAAGTTTATGGACACAAGGCAATATGCTATAGCATTTTACCAGTTCTTCCTTTCAGAAATACTGCTTGTATTAATAGCACCCAAGTGTCATTGTATCGTGATGTTAAGTAATACAATAGTAGAAAAGTGGTGGTGGTTCCTATGTTATTGGATATCCTCACTATTTAGATCAGCAGTTTGCTGCATCACAGAGCTTATATTTTCCTTAACTTTGGGGCTGCCTTAATGCCTTTTTTCTTACTGTGTCTCTTTGCCAGTGCTAAACAGGTGCTGTGTGCACCTGAAGGTAAAAGTGGAGCCCAGCAAAACCTGACCTGGTTTGAATTCCTGTCTAATGAGTAAGTTACCTCTGTATCTACGTGCATATTACATTTTTGTTCCCAGCTCTGCCGTGATACAACAGGAATAAGGAGTAGGGCTGAACATATGATCACAGTGTTCATGGAGATATGGGATCCGTTTTGCACCTTTGCATTTCTTCGGTGGAGAGGTTAAGGAGCTTTGGAGCCAGTTTAGTACAGTGGTTGAAGTGCTGAACTAGAAATCAGGAGACTGTGAGTTCTAGTTCTTCCACAGGCATGAAAGCCGGCTGGACCAGTTTCTCTCTCAGCCCAACGCTGCTCACAGGATTTATTTACTTATTATTAAACTTGTATGCTGCCCAACTCCCAACGACTCCGGGTGGGTCACAACAATCAAAACAAAGAAATTACAGTAAAACCAATTAAAAGGAAGAAAAAGAAAAAGATGAGAGTTTCTTAGTAAGCCTCCTAATCCAGCATCCAGATGGATTAAATCTCTAGTTAAGCAATTGCCTGTTCCTAGTGGGACCTCTTCATAAACATGCTAAAGTGTTCCTGGAGAGACTGTGGCTAGTTGTTTAGGAAAAAACTATACTGTGCTTCTCATAATGCTGTGGTCAGGATATGACTAATAAATGTGACAGTGGCCAAAGTTTCCATTACAGCTTCTGGAAGTTGAAGACGTATGTCACTCTTGCCTAGTCCCCTGATGGCTTGACTGGTCCAGAATGCAACAGTATGGGTATGCCTTAGTATGCCCATGTGACACTTCTGCACCAGCACCTGTACTGGTTGCCACTTAGCTCCTGAGTGTGATTCATGGTGCTGGTTATGTCAGTCCTCCGAGGTAGACCAAACCTGGAAACCAAAGACATGCAAGCTAATACTACTTTTATTTACATTTCTGCTTGGACTCTCAGATTTCTTTTATCTGACCATTGTCTTGGTTGTGGCTCTTCCTCCTGTTCCTCAAGGTTATTCCTTCTGCCCATTACAGCTTATCACATATAAAGCTCTACGTGGCACAGGCCCTGGTTATCTGAGGGACTGCCTATCTCCTGTGGTGTCTGCTTGGCCGATACAAGCTGACAAAGCTGATGTGCTCTGGGTTCCTTTGATTAAACAGTGTCATCTATCAGAACCCAGGAAGTGCATCTTCTCTGTTGCAGCGCTTGCCCTCTAGAGTAAGGATCCCCCTGAGATCTGAGTGGCTCTCACTCTGATGGTGTTTCAGAGGGCCGTAAAGACTTGACTATCCTCCCAGGCCTTGGGCTAAGGTTGCTGGAGCTCCCCCACTGGGTGATATATGTTCTGTGTAGTGTGCCAGATTTGCTGTATTGTTCTTTTCCTTATTTTCTAGTCTGGTTCTTTTGTTGCATGATTTTGTTTTTCTTATTTTTTTATTGTTTATTGTACTGTGAGCCACTAGAGTTGCTCTGGAGTCAGATGCTGCCAAATCCAATAAAATAGATAATTTTTTAGAAATTCAATTAACCTTGGAGTCCTTTTGTTTGTGGCATCTTATCATTCCAATGGAGCTCTGCTGGTTGCCCACATTACAGTTTTGGCACCAAGTAAAGACCTTATTTTCCAAGGCCTTATATAGGTGTTTAGTTTTAGACTGGATGAGATATCTAGCTCTCTTTTATTTACTAATTTGGTTTTATCTGCCTGTCATTTCTATTGGTTGAAATATAGTGTATTTATATTCTGTTAGCCATTTTGGAAGCTGAACTGAAGGCATGGAAATTAAATCAGCTAAAATAAATTTCCTCTAATTAAGTTTATTTATTTGTTTCCTTCTTTCCTTCCTTCCCTACTTACTTACAACAGGAATGAAGAGAGTCCAAGGAGTGACAAAACTGAGAAGGGCACTAAGGTAAAGCGCCGGCTGAGCAATCTGCGCAACCGTGTCACTGGTTCATGGCAGAAGGAGAAGGTGAGAGGTTGTGTATAAACCACTTGACTCAATCAAACATGGTTTTATATCAGAAGTTTATAAACAAGGTGTCATGAGAAATTGTGCCTCAATGGTAGAGCACATATTTTACTTACAGAACATCTCAGATTCAATCCCTAATTTGTATTAGGACAATCAAGTAAAAGTCACAGAAAGGTCTTCTCTCTGCTGAGACCCTAGAGAGATCAAAGTGAAAAATACAAATATTCTAAAACAAGTAAAATAGCTTTCCAAGAACTGAACTGGAAAAGGAATACGTGAATGGACTTCTGGTGGTATGTAGTTGTACAAGATCTTGACGTTATGGCATTTTCTATTCTTTTAGGGTAAGAATAAAGATCGGGAGAAGGAAGCTCTGGAGGCGAAGGAACGAATGCAGGCACTGCATGGGCATGAACTAGCACTAGGCACCTTCTCTAATGGCACCTGTTGCTCTCTCTGTGGCAAAATTCTGCTGAACAAAACAGGGCTACAATGCTTGAGTGAGTAGCTTCCTCCTGGGTCACAGTGTGAGGGTTAGCCATCCTTGCCTATCTCCTGGCTAGCTTGATTTTACATCCTCTAGTAACAGAGTTTTTGGGTTCTGCTTTCTTCCTTCTCCACCCCGCCGCCTCAGGTGCCATCCCATCTCTGTACTTAGGGTGGCTACCTTCTATTCTGTCAAGATTGCTCTGTACTGAAGCGTTTTTAGTGTGCAGGTTTTGGTTACGTGCATGTGTATGCTTTGTTCACCTGTATGAAAACTTGTATTGTACACACTAAATTTTAGCCTGTTGACTAAATTGTGGTATACTGTGCTAAATGTCTTTTCTATCCGTAAACTATCCTCTAGTCCTGTGGAGTATCATTGAACATTTCCAGAATGGCTGATCTGATGCACATCATCACTGATTGCTTAAATACAATTCTTCTACACTACAGGAAAAACAGTAACAACTAGTAAAACTTTCTGAATTTATTTTAAATAATATGCTAGTCAGCTAAAATAATATATTTCCTTTTAATTTTGCTCTTTTTTCTGTTTAGGCTACAAATAATTACCAAAGCATGTAGGCAAGAGAGTTAAAAGATAATAATTACATGTAACATTGCATGCAAATCTGATCTTGAGAAATACTTTCTGCATGAAAATCAGTCTTTGCAATTTGTAAGTTTTATTAAACTTACGATTAATAAAAATAATAAAACATCAATATAGTAACCGTGAGGCAGTTATATCGCATAGGTGATTAGAATGCTCCATTTTAATCATCTTAGTGAATTACAATAGTATAGTTACAGCAACAGTATAATTGCCTCAATTACATGAAGCAACAGAAACAACTAAGAGCCATCTTAAAGATGATCAAATTTTGATGGAAATTGTGTTCATATTATTAGGCATGTATACTGTCATCTTCGGTTAGGCAAGGTAAGTAAATAATGCCATCATTTGGACATGCAGCACAACACAATTTGACGTTTATAATTTAAACATGGACCAGTAGATAACAACCAATTTGCAAGTAATAATCCTACTAATCCGATGTTAAGATATGAAGGGATTTTCAGAGAATAAGGAGGGGCCAATTACTGGCTGGCCCTCTTAGCAACTAGCCTGTCTCCTGTTTATTTACACATTACTTGTTTTACTTTTTAATAGTACTACTCTTTACATTACTTTAAGTTTCCTCCTTGCAATCTAGGGCTCTCGTCAGACCCCGCAGAGCCATTAAGCCCTTTGCCTGCCCTCTTGGGCCAGTTGTGTATCATGTTGTGCTCCCCGAAAATCTGTTCCTATATAAACTGGAGAGCTAAAAAGATCTAAAAGGGGAAATTAAGCCGTATGTATATTTATTTCGTTAAGTCTTCATTACAAAAACAACCAACACCCACCACTAAAAAATACCTTTCCTTTCCTAAAGGTACCCGATTTAAAAAACTAATGACAGGTGGAAACTTAAAACCCTATTGTGAAAATAAATGTTTAGTCATTTAATGATAAACTATATGGTGTTACAACTTCAGCCACAATAGGGGAAAGCCACAAGGCTAGGCAGACGCGGTTACCAGGGCAACCCACTTTTAGGCGAGACGGGGAGAGAATCGCTATTTCGCGAGGCCTTGAAGCTCCGCGAGAGGATGACTCCGGCTTTGGGGTTCGCCTGAAGGGGCGGGCTGGGATTTGAGCCAGAAGGCGGGGAGTTTAAAAAGGCTCGGATCGTTTCAGGAAGCCTCGCTTGAGATCTCGCGAGATCGTTTATGCTGAGGCGGAGCCAGCAGGTAACTTTACACCTTTACATCGCGGGTATCCGCGTTCCCACCCGGCCTGGGACGTCCCATAAGACTGCCCTTGTTCTTCCTTCCCAGCGACTCCCTCTTTGCCCTCACCTGCTCCTTGAAGGCCAGGGCTGAGGGCATTAGCATTGAGCTGAGGATTAGAATCCCGCGGGCTTTAGCAGGTCTCGCGATATGCCTGGCTGATTCTACGGGGGCGGGGTCAAAGAGGAAGTGTCTCAGTGAGGAGGCGAGGCCGGGGTGGGCCTCTTCGGGGACAGGAGAAGGACTTGCACATCTGCCGCTGAGAACAACAGTCTTGTAGGGTAGGCTGGTCCAGAGAGAAGCGCGAGGCGTCATTTGATGACGTCAGAGGTCAGTATTAGCCACACTTACCCGACTCAACTCTTTGTCCGGGTGGAGGGAGGCTTCTCACCGAGACCTTGGGGACCTGACACTTCTGCGTATCTAGGAATGCATATGATTTTTGCTTTCCTTTCAACGTTCAGGTTCCTAGTCTTTGTGGATCTAATACCACGAGAACTCGCGTTGCTTTCCATTTGTCTTTTCTTTATGAACATAAAGGAGGAATTGTTGCGTGCACAGGCGGTGTAGATAAGCAGGTTGTCATTCAGAAGAATTTCTGCATGCCCAGCAATGGTTGCTGGACCTCCTTTTTGAAAAAAAAAATTGAGCTACTTAGAATAGACTACACCAAGAGGTTGTAGTTTCTGCAGGTAGACTGGCATCTCCACTTTAAAAAATCTCAGGTATTAGAATTAATAAAGAATTCATGAAAATTCCTGTTGCAGCATTAGAGAGAAATGGGCCCAATGGATAAGCAGTCTGATTTGATATAAAGTGTTTTTATATATTCCTTTCAGGCAGCCATCGTTCAGTGATGGGGTATTTCTTTTTCATCCAGAATAGCCAAGATATGACCTCAGCATTTACCTTAAAAGATCTTGGGGTTAAAAAAATGAAATGAAATATACCTATATACTTTGTAACGGCTCTGGGGGTCACTGACAAGATACCGATTCCAAGCTAACAATTTAACGGCTGTTAAATTCACTCTGTGGCTTCTTAGATAACCAAATAACTCAGATGGCTCTGTATCTCCCCAGAGAACTAATGTAGTCAGAATGCACAGTGGGGCTGATGGACCAACAGTCTGATTCAGCATAGGAAAGATTAATGTATTTAAGAGAACGGTCACATTCAGTCACCCTGCATCTCTAGTTAAAAAACAAAAAGGATTGGGGAGTAGTGTTTTAAAATAGATGAAAATTACAGGTTGTTGTATCTGTCTCTTACAAGAAAATCCAAAAGCATCAGCAGAACATTTTCCTTGTTGTTATTACTGCCAATGAAAAGATCACAACATGAGCTATTTTTTTAAGTCTATTAAAATGCTCCTTCATTCTAACAGATGGCTGGATGGTATGGAAAAGAAATCACTATAAATGTGGGATTTTAGAGAAAGATAGCTGTTTCTGGCCAAGATTAGATGCTCCCCCTTTCAAGGTTTTGTTGACTATCATTTTTAATGACCTCTTAAATTGGTTTTAGTGGTTTTTTAAATGTTTTATTATTTTTTATAACTGTTCGATTTTGATTACTCATACATTGCCATGATGGTTTTGGCAGAAGGGCAGTGTTAAAATAATCACAATAATAAAGAACTGAAAAGGAAAGGTTGTGTTGTTATTAGTAGATTGGCCAAGCAATTCTATCCTGCAGTTAAATGGAATAGTGGGTGTGAGTGGTTATTTAGCTGTTACAGCAGTGCAAAGCTGAACAGATTACATAAATTCTCAGCCTGGGAGGAGACGGAAATAACCACTGAGAAAATCTTCAAAAGGTGCAGAAACATCCATAGTCTGAACATTCTTATATGTGCTGCTAAAGACTGTCAGTCTGGGCTGTACTACTATATTTCTATGGATATACGAACCCAGTGGCAATTGGGTTCATACTTTTTGCATGGTTCTGATATTCTCAGTGACACCTGAATACCCCAAGATATCTGCCAATCATCTGACATCTTTGAAAACATACTTTCTGATTTCCTTATGCCAGTGTTTCTCAATCTTAGCAACTTTAAGATGTGTGGACTTCAACTCCCAGAATTCCCCA